CTCTTTATATCACATTTTATTTCATTTAATCCTCAAGTGATGAAAGATTTTGACAAAAAGGCAACTATTAAAAAGAAGCATTCCTTCTGGCTACAGACTGCAGAACAATGTTCCACCCTGAGAACTTTTGCAATCTCTCCTCCATGGACATTTTTTAGTTGACTAGGTCACTGTATGGGAAGTTTTAGGTTCTAGCTTACAAACTAACAACAAAAAAAAAAACCTGAACACATTGCTGTCGCTGCCGACTCACGGAGATCCCACGTGTGTCAGGGAAGAGCTGTGCTCCACAGGGTTTTCAGTGGCAGTAATCTCATGGGAACAGATCCCCAGCCTTTGTTCCACAGTGCCACTGGGTGGATCTGAACCAGCAACCTTTCGGGTGGTAGCCCAGAGCAAATCGTTTATGGTACCCAGGGTCTTCTGACTTATAAACAAGCAGAAGGATTTATAAGAAAGCATCTTGGGATTCCTTTAAACCTGTTTTTATTCCAAGACCAAACCAAAAACCAAATTCACTGCCATCGAGTCGAATTTTCACTCACAGAGATCCTATAGGACAAAGCTGAACGCCCCTACAGGGTTTCTAAGGTTGTAAATCTTTACAGAAGTGGACCACCATGTCTTTCTCCTGCAGAGCGGCTGGGTGGTTGAAACAGCTAATGTTCTGTCTGGTTAACAGCTGAGCACTTAACCAGTGCACTACCAGGGCTCCATTATTCTAAGACAGGTTACGATAAATTACAAACCATGCCTTTGAATATAACAATCTCTGATTTTTGGTTTTGATATTGTGAGTCTCTCTCTCCATAAAGCATCCTTACAAAATGACTGTAACTTTGTCAACACTTCTAGATTCCTTGCAAGTTACATAACAGGCCTAATAAACTGGAGTTGTGAATTTGAGTGTCTGGCGTATTTGCAGTGTGGGGTAGGAAGCGACAGAGAAACTCCATAAAAATAAAGACAAAGAGTAAGCCAGGTATGAGATTCAATGTTATCTAGTGTCTCTTACAAATTATCTCTTTTATTTTCCACAGGTGCTGAGAAAAACAAACTTGTTTTCGGTAACAGGGTTCCAAGCGAGTCCTGAGTTTCACATGATGAGCGTCTACTTCTTTTTTTTTTTCCTGCTACAGCAAATCTAAACTAAATACCATCAGCCCTTTCAAAACACATACGGAAACACTGCCCCTTGGAATTGCCATAAACAAACAAATCCAATCCCCAAAGAAATGACAGAGGCTCACCTGGTCTGAGCGCGTACAGGCCTTTCACAATGTTTGCCATAGTTGAAGGCGTGACCTGAAACGGTGTTGACTGGGCTTCTAAGAGTAAAGCTGCAATGAGAAGAGAAAGGGGCGCCATAAGAGGGACAGACG